CTCGATTTTATTATGCCCGCTCAGCAAAACATTGGAAATGTTAGACTTTTTCCGCATAAATTTGTATAGGAAGAGATTTTTAAATTTTATATTAATATTTTTATTTATAAAATAATATGAAATTCTTTTTTTACATTGTTTAATAAATTTAAAAAAATTGTAGAAAAAAAACAAACATGGAAAGAACTGGTGGAAAGAAAACTTACAACGTTGATGAAAGAAGTCTTTTCCATGGCACAGATTCAATTGACACGTGTTACGGTATATGTACCAACAATTTTGATTTTCGTCTGAGTGGGAAAAATGCAACGGTTTATGGGAAAGGATCTTACTTTGCCATTTCTGCAAAGTATAGTCATAACTACACAAAAGGCAACACGCGCTTTATGTTTAGAGCTAAAGTTCTGATTGGAAGCTATACCAAAGGTAAAGAAGACTTGACGTGTCCACCAAATATCCCTGGAGAAGGACACAGACGTTTTGATTCCTGCGTCGACAATACCTCTGACCCTTCAATATTCATTGTTTTTGACAGAAATCAGACGTACCCCGAGTACTTGATTGCATATCAGGAAAATATTGAAGCACGGACTTTAGATTGGCAGTCAATACAAAAATCAAAACGAAGTTTTTCAAGAAGTAGGGGCATTGCATCTAGATCAATTAACGTTTCCACTAATATTAACAATGTTCAAAACAACCTCAATACATTAGTTAAAACTCCATCTAGTAGTCAGGGAACTGTAATTACTACTCCCTTCACAAAAAGTCGACGGAGACCACCACTACGCCGATCAAGACCTTTGTCTTTAAGCAATAATCAAAGTTCCTCACATACTGATTTGACATCAACTCAATATCCTGTTGGCATATCAAATTCCACTTCTATCAGCAATTCGACACAAAATAGCACGTCGACCAACTCAACTGCTCATGGAGCTCATGTACATGCAGCTTCCACTGGAGTGATATCTTCCACGACAAACAATTATCAGGCTCCCACTGGAATAAGAGCTATTTCCAATACAAATAACCACCAGGCTTCAACGAGTCTAAAAGATTCTTCCACAGCAAGCAGTTACCAGACTTTAGCGGGAACGGGGTCTTCTATTTCCATCATTAACAAGGCTTCTATTCAAAACATTTCTTCCAGTGCAAATTACCAAGCCTCCAACAAACTGGGACCCTTTTCTCCTGCAAACAATTACCAATCAAACAGTCTGAAAGATTCTTCCATAGCAAACAGTTACCAGAATTTAACGGGAACGGGGGCTTCCATTACCATTAACAACGCCTCTACAAAAACTACTTCTTCCACTTCAAATTACCAAGCCTCCAACACAATGGGACCTATTTCCCCTGCAAACAATTACCAACCTTCCACAGGAATTGGAGTTTCTTCCATGCCAAAAAACCACCAAACTTTCGCCAGAGCAGGAGCTTCTTCCATTGCAAACAACTATCAGGCTTCCAGAGGAATCGGATCGACTTCCGTTTTAAACAATTATCAATATACTGAGGTCACTTCTCCTCAGAACCGGAGTTTTAACAGCTTTCCAAAGTTTTCTTCCTCAATTAACCGAAAAAATAGGGATCCTTATTCTGTTACGAGAGGTCGAAGTGAACGTCTTTCGTCCTTTCCTGGAGTTAGATACCGGGGGTATTATTCTTTGTCAAACATAGTGATACCAAATGAGGATTATGGATGTTGTTGTCTAATTTTGTGATAAAATTTAAACGAAACTTTCAAATCGTTAATCAGTAATCATTTACATTTTTTTTTAAATCTTATCTTCAAATCGGTGTTTATGACCCATAAACACCGATTTGAAGATAAGATTTAAAAAAAAATGTTCTTGATAATATCCTGACTTATTTGTAGCACTTCACATGAAAATAAAATTAGATAAAAAATTGTCTCGAAATTATTGAAACTAAGAATTTTGGGACGCGTTTGATTGGCATATTCTTGCTTTTTCACGAAGTCAACTTTATCTTTAATGCCCAAGAAAAAGAAAAATTTTCTTGTTTATTAATGAGAAATATTTCAAAAACTATAATCCAGAAAACTCAGAGTAGAAATGTGAGAAAGCAAAACCAACTCACCAGTATTGTCAGTCCGTGCTCAGTAATGTGTGATGATTTAAATTGAACACATCCATGAAACGAAAACTGTTTTTGTAAACAGGGCAATAGCTCTTATTATTGATTATTACATTTCACCGGGTGTGTTCCATTTTGGGTGATGATTTGAACAGATGTGAATCTAATTCATGATTATTTCATATTCACTATGGCATGTCATGACTTTCAATTTTTTGATAAAATTTTCAAACTTTCCCATGTTTTTCTATATGTCGCCTCATATGGACTCATCACCAAAACCTGAAGAACATGGTTTGATGAATAAACTTTAATCTACATTATCTGAGGATGCTTTCATGGAAACATGACCAATCATAACGGTATTTTTTCAGGAATTTTTTTTATGTATTACAATGTAAAATTTGATCACTGATAGTGGCTTTACCCTAACCGCAGAAGACATTATTGAACTTGAATTGGCACTTTGTCAGGAAGCTTTCATTTAAGTTTTGTCTTTTTTAGTGGTTCTTGAGATTTCTTAAAAATAAGTCACCCAATCTTTAGTATTAATTAATTATCTCCCCTTGGAAGAAGTCGTGAATCTACATTTCAATAAAATTTATCACGTTTACATGGCACGTTTGGTAGAAATTGGCTCAGAGGTTCTAGAGAAACATATGGAAATGTTTACGAGATAGGTGACAGTAGACAACATCGGCAGAAAACTGACAAATTCCGATCCAAAAAGCTCACTTGAGCTTTTGTCTCAGGTTTGCTTAAAAATTTACTAAGTCAATCTAGAGGAAAATCGATAGAAAGCTGTTTTTGATCTAGAAAGCTTACAACATCAATTTGCTCCGGTTACTAAAAATTGATAATGCCATATGTTGTCAGACATGCGATGCAATGTGCTGCATTTCAGAATAATGCCTAAAGATTTATCTATAGTAACAATCTTATACATGCAAAAGTGTCTGGGTCGATTCATTGAAATCAATATACAAGTCACTTGATTAAAAAACTGTTATGTAGACAGATATTCAGGGGAAAAGGAGGCGAGTCTACTATATTATTTCTTTACTTTATGACAATTTTATATCTTATAATTATATTTTGTTTAATGTTGCTTTTCTAAAAATTTATTCAATCTGACTGAAATCATTTAAACGATTTAGAAAAAATTGTTTGAACGATTTTTAAAATCGTTGGAACGATTTAGAAAATTGTTTAAGCAACGATTTTTTAAAACCGTTTGTACGGTTTTTTGAAATCATTTGTACGATTTAGAAAATCGTTTGTACGATTTTTATTACTTGCTATTACACGTAGAAGAAGCGTAGTAGAAAACCTTGCACAAGTAGGACAGCGTATCCACGCATAGTTTTAATGAATGATACGATGAAAAATTGATCAAGGGATATTTTAAGATGTGTTTCATTTTTTTTGGAAATTGCACAGATCCTTTCAAAAACTCACTGAGTCTTTGTTAGTGAACGAATGTTGAACAGGACAACAGCTAAGTTGGGACTGTTCAGACGTAAGAACAAATCCGACATAGGGGATGTAGCTCTTTTCATTGGGGAAACACTTGAGTCATGTGATCAATTGTGTGGATAAAGCTGGTGGTACTGGAAAGCTATTATGGCAGAAATTACCGTTTCTAAAGAAAATATTCGATGTCTTCTTCCTATACAAGATCCGGAGGGAGTGTGTTTAAGAAAAAGAAACAGACTAAGACGAAGATTGTACACGATCAAAGGTCCAAAATACGTATGGTACGTGGATGGATTATACAGTTATACAAGCGATCATAAAAACAATGTGAATGTAATTGGATATGATGGTTTACTAATTATAAAATTACAACAATATTAAAATACAGTTTAATTCACAAGATACAATTTATTATAAGTGTTTCTGTACCTGTTATAGTCAGCAGCGAATGGACTTCTCTATACTATAGCTTTACCAGGTTTCTTATCCAGTAAGCTTCTGTTCCGCATCAGAAGAAAAAAAATCGTACAAACGATTTGTCAAATCGCACAAACGATTTGAAAAATCGTACAAACGATTTAACAAATCGAACAAATGGTATAAATTCTGACAAGTGGTTAGAAACCGCATTTGTAAAAGCTTATCGACTTACCAAGTTACGTCTGTTAAGCCGATTTAACAAAACGTTCAAACCATTTTAAAAATCGTATAAACGATTTCTAAATCGTTCAAACGATTTCCTAAATCGTAAAAACGATTTAAAAAATTTTACAAACAATTTTTTAAAATTTTCTCTACATTGTCAATATGGCACGAATACGCCGTCGTTGTAAAGGGAGCAACGGGGATTTGATTTAGTCAGATAGAAGAATTACTTTTCCTTAAAAATATCTGCGCAGATTTAAATTCTGTAAAGAAATAACAATTTAGCTCTTTTATAACTATATATTAAGAAATTTCAAAGGGGGTGGGGGTGGGTGGGTATTGATTATTTCATTTTAGAAGCAAGTTCATTTTAGAATTAAATAAAGATTAAAGATAATATAGATTCAATCATGTGAATCCTGCTTCCATTTCAGAAGACAAGTCTTCTTTTTTGCGTAAAATGATATATATACCATAAATGATATACTGGACATACAAAGTACAACTAAAATGCATAATGAAATAAGCATAGTAATCCTTTTGGGGGGTTGTGACTTATTTTCATATTTTGCATTTACTTAAATGTTACGTATTTTCACATACGGTAAAGATTGATTACGACTATGTTGTTATAACTAGCAACAAATAATTCAAAACAAATAAGTCACAACAAATAAGTTTTAACAAATAAGTCATAACAAGTAAGTCAATGCCCTTCCAGGGCTTCCGTATATTAGCCCTAAATTATGTTCTAGTACATGTATGTTTACTTTCAAAAGAAGTTATCTCTTGCTTTGCCTTTATGTAATCACATGCAGGTATTTCACCTAACTTTTGTGTTATGGGCGTAAATTTTATATTTTCTCTTTCTGTCAGGTAAGATATCATGCACGTTATTTTGATGTGCTGTTAGCAGTTTTATTACCATTTTCGAAAAATAGACGTTATCTATTATAAACAGTTGAAAAACTGGTGCATTCCTTTAATCTTATGACTATGCAGTGATAAACTTATATACACACCTGTTCATCAATGTATATAGAGACAAAGTTTAGTTTCATTTCAACCTAGCAAATGAAAATGTGCAATTATTGCAATGTACATAAAATTGACTTGGAAGAATATTTATAATCAATATTCATATTTTTTTTATAAACTGCATCTTTAAGATTTATTTGTTTACCATGATATCACTGAGTTGTTTGCAACACATCTTTCATATACTTTTTAATTTTTGAAGAAAAAAAAATTAGAGAACAGAAACTGAATACCATAGTGTACAATCAAAGAGGATGATGGCTGAATGCTTTTTTCAACTCTAATTAACGCAGATATCTTCATATTTTTGATGCAGGTTAAACTAAAAGATACATGATGCACAGAAGTAAAAGCATGCCGTTTCTTCCAAACGTTTCAAGAAATAGAGGCAGGGGCCAGAGAAGGGGAAGAAGGAGAGGACCAGACTGGTCAAACCCCAGGGCCCAGTGTGCATGTGAGGAGAGTGACGATGAATCGTCCTCAAGCAGTGTTAGTGAGTATTCTCACCAGAGCCGTGTCGATGATTACTGTCACCAGACTAGACCCCTCAGAAGAAGCATGAGTCGAGATGAGGAGAGTTCTTCAGAATTACGCATTTTCGATTTTCTAGTAAAATCAGTTAGCGGAATTGTCAGTATTTTAAGATTAAAGGAGGACTTTTACCAAATACCATCTAATTTTGATGAGTGGATCTTGGACCCCAAAGAAAGGCTACTTGTCTTCAAACAAGAGCACTCGACTCCACTTTACATTGGGCCTTTCCTTCAGGAGGTCACGCTTTGTCCAGATCACATGGCACAAAATGGCATGTGTGACCGAGTGAACTGTAACCATTTTCATATTTGCCAATTCTATCTAAATGGTTGGTGCAGACTTGGATATAGATGCAGAAAAGGACACGGGTTTAACGATGCACATAATGGGAGATTAAAAGAAAAGCTTGGATTATCCAAATATATCGATAAGGAATTGAAAGTAATACTTATAAATAGATACCCTCAAGTATGTAACATTAGAAACTGCAATGGTGGGGAAGAATGTCCATATCTTCATATTTGTTACAACTTTATCAAAAATAGATGCAAAAGCGACCTCTGTGGTGAAGGACATTCATTTGAGACGCCACACAACAAGTGGGTTCTGTCAGTATACAGAATGGAGAAATGGCCAAAGAAAAATCTACCTTTGCTGAATGCTTTGATCAACAAGCCACAAAGACCACAAAAGTCACATTTTCTCCAGCTTACCAGTATTTCCTCTGCCGGTTGCAAAATTGAACGTAATTCTTCTTTATATGTTTTTGAAATAACATATATAATATTTTCCATTTAAAAAATGAACTTAGCCTAATCAATTTATCTCTCATGGGCAAAGAAATCAAGTGAGCTTTTCTGATCAAAGTATAAATGTATTCTGGCTGTCTGTCCCGGGAGTTGACAAAAATATTAACGATTTCGAGTTTGGTTCAACGGTGCTTTTCGGGAACCACAGGCTAAATTCGACGAAAGTTGACACACACTATCGTTTTTATGGCATAGAATCGTGAAATAGGAAAAAATAGTTTTAAAAATCTTGAATTTCTGATTGACAATATTTTTGTAGTTTAAATTTTTGGAGGTCAAGTCTTTTAACAATCTGTCGGAATTCCATGGATGCTAAAGAGGCCCCTTATTAGCAGACATATTTTTGCATTCACGTGAAGCAGAATTCATGCAAAAACTTACATTTTTCAAATGAAATCTGGATCCCAATGTAGTGTTAATATTTGTTTGATTAAGTGGTTTCACCCAGCTAGAAGGCTGATACAATGCATTATACATGTGAACAAAGAATTGATCATATTGTGAAGTCAAACTTCCTGAAGAGAAGTATGACAAAAATGGGTTCATAGTTCTTCATTCGAAAAAATCTTGAAATCTTTTAAAATCTAAGGCCAAAACTTTGGAGATGGGTGAACTTAGCGTGCAGAAAGCCCACTAGCTTCAGACGTATAAAAATCATATTCAAATTGTGAATTTAGTATCTAGAGTAAAGTTCTTATCATAGTTCTTTTTTTAAGAAATCATGAGATACAAAAAGTTTTGAGGAAATTTTTTTAATTAAGGTCTTCCGTTTCAGACGGAAGACCTTATAGTGATTGTACTGTTTCTTTTTATTATTATTATTATTTTTTTTTTCCCCTTTTCTTGTAAGACGAATTTCTCAGAGATGGCTGGGCGGATTTTCTTGAAATTTTCAGGGATGGTGCAGAATGTAAATACGCTCAGACGTTTTTTTCATTTTTTCAAAATTCACTTCCGGTCGTCAGATTTGTCCGATTTCCGTTTTTTTCAGAAATATTTTGTCATAGTCATATCTCAGAAACGGTAAGAGATTAAGACACCAAACTTATATGAGTAATAGGTCTTGATAAGTAGGCGAGCCCAATTGGGTTTCCGGCGTCACTTCCGGTCGTCACAGGAAGTGATCCAAGAAATCGAAAATTTCAACTTTTCTTTACTGAAACTTTTTTTGCATCACATTATAGCATCTTATTTGTAGTTTCGAAATCTGTCAGTCCCACCGGAAACAAAAACGACAACTTCCGGTTATAAGAGAAAAACTGCATATTTTGAGTATTTTTCTTTCCCATAAATGTTTTTTATAGATAAAGTATTTGTAATGATTTTTGGGTATGTTATTAAGACTACAAATGTCTACAGTAACGTCAAATATCTTTTTAAAATTCACTTCCGGTCGCGTGATTATCTGTCCTCAAAATGAGAAGTTATCACAGCGAGATCTCGTAAACGGTAAGAGATTAAGACACCAAACTTATATAAGTGGTAGATCTTGATAAGTAGGCAAATTCAGTTGGGATAAGATCGTCAGCCGTCACTTCCGGTCGTCACAGGAAGTGATCCAAAAAATCAATTTTTAACTTTTCTTTCATGAAACTTTTTTTGCATCACATTATAACATCTTATTTGTATTTTTGAAATATATCAGTCCCACCGGAAACTAAAACGACAACTTCCGGTTATAAGAGAAAAACTACATAATTTGAGTATTTTTCTTTCCCATAAATATTTTTTATACATAAAGTATTTGTAGTGATTTTTAGATATTTTATATAGACTGCTTATGTCTACAGTAAAGTCAAATATCTTCGTAAAATTCACTTCCGGTCGCGTGATTTTCTGTCCTCAATATGAGAAGTTATCACAAAGAGATCTCGGAAACGGTAAGAGAAACGCCAAACTTGAACGAGTAATAGATCTTGATAAGTAAGGAAACTCATAAGGGTTAAGATCGTTCGCCGTCATTTCCGGTCGTCACAGGAAGTGATCAAAGAAATCAGAAATTTCAAGTTTTCTTTTTGGAATACTTCTCGGCATCCTATTATTGCATCTTATTGGTTATTCTGATATCTGTCCGTCCCACCGGAAACAAAAACGGCAACTTCCAGTTATGAGAGAAAAACTGCATAAATTGAGTATCATGCTATCCCATAAATATCTTTTATAGAAAGAGTATTTGAAATGATTTTAGAACATGTTATTGAGACTGCAAATGTCTAGAGTAGCTGCAAATATCTGTTAAAAATTGACTTCCTGTCTCATGATTTCCTGTCCTGAAACTGAGTAGTTAACATAGCCAGATCTTGGTTATGGTAACACATCAAGACACTAAACTTATATGAATAATAAACCTTGACGAGTAAACAACAGATATAGGGATAAATGTCTCCGCCGTCACTTCCGGTCGTCACAGGATGTGATTTTTTTTCAATACTTTATTGCATCTATTTAGTAGTTTTGAAATGTGTCAGCTCCACCAAAAATAAAAATAAAAACAACGAAAACTTCCAATTATAAGAAATAAAACTACACCAAGGTCAAAAGGTCAAGGTCATTGGAAAAGTATTTACATTGCTTTTATATGCCACATGACCTTGACCTTTGAGTTTGATGTTTGACCTTGACCTTTGACCTTGACCCTTACTCAAGAGTTTTTTTTAATCATATTTAGCTTGATACAGCTTCAAGTGTTAAAGTCGAGTTTAAAAGGTTTTTGGATGAGCCTGACCTTTGACCTCGATAAATGACCTTGACCTTTGACCCCATTGACCCTAAGGTCACAATCCAGCTTGAGTCCGTGGGGGTGTTTACATCTCTCGCTTTTACAAATTCTTATAACCCCCCCCCTTTTTCTGTTTTTTTAAAAATCAATAGGAACCTAGAAAAATTTTCTACAGTTCAAACGACGCCACAGATCGACATGAAATTTAAGGATTGCAGTAGAAGACACATCAAAGAAAGTGCCCTGAGTGTGTAACAGTGAGTCTCTGAAGTATATAATGAAATTCTAATGAATATAGGCAACAACTACATTTTTTCTGTCTGAAATTTAGGTGCTGACGAGCATGAAAATTAATTAAAGCTTGTATTGGGTATTTCTTCACTTTTTGTCAATAACATTCGATTCTCCTGCTCAAATACGAAATTTTAATACCAAGTATTCTTGATCTCCTTTGTATGTAGAGTTTATTTCAATTTTATTTACATTGAATATTAACTGAATGAATCTAGGAAATAGCGATGTTTTCCTATCAAATCAATTTCCACGCAATTTATATAGGTTAGATATATTACAGTTATCTCGCTTTCTACGATTGTGGAGTTGAGAAAATGCCCATGACTCACAAATTATGTCAACAAATTACATGTAATGTGCTTATTAAAGTGCACATGTACCAAAAATGCACCCCGGGACTACCCAGATTTGGGTATGTTTTTCCGAGCAGGGTAACACACCCAGTATTCTGTAACTCAATCTATGCCCTAAAAAAATATTCATTAATTGATATGTTGTCATTAACCTTCCCTCTGAGAAACACACCTTCTTCTAAGGCCTACGGCTTTTCAGCTGATTTTCCTCTGCAACTGACCACGTGTGTTAGTTTCGCACTTACAGCTCTGTATATGCTAAGTGTCATAGTAATACCTACATGTTTCAGCAAGCACTCTGATTCACTGCAAACGTGTCCTATAATTACTCTAATCATTTTTCTACATACAATATCACATCAAACAGCCAATATCTCAGTTTTTTAAGAAATTTGACCGGGACTTTACTACGAAACTATTTCTTTCACTACGAAACTATTTCCTTCAACCTTAAAAATAATAAGCTTACAAAATCCCTTTAATGTTGTGGAACTCGATGGTTCAGTGGTGAGCGTGTCCGACTATCATATTAATGGTTTTGGGATCGAGCCCAGATGGAGGAACTTTTTTTTTTTTTTTTTTTTTTTGCATTTTGTCTATTTTTTTTTTTTGTCTGTTTTTTTTTAAATAGAAAAATATCCTTCTTACAGATAAAAAGAGAAGAACGGAAGACCTTATTTGTTGCTGTAGCAACAAGAGTTTCTAGTTAAAATTTATTTTTCTATAAAAAAAAGTGATATCCATTAGGTTCGAACCCTGGCAATAAAAATTCTGAGTTGCATTCTCTTTTGAGACTAGCACGCTAAGCACTACGCTACACAAGTTCTGATGAAGTGTGACATTTAAATCATTTTGTAATATGACCATTGACTTAAGGACTTCAAGTGTTTCTTGAAAAGATACGAAAGTTATGATATAAAATTATATTCATGTATTAAGGTATAGTGGGTCTTTGCTCTATAATTTTGGAAACCTAAATATGTATGTTTGTATAAAAACTTTGAGGATTAACGTTCAAAAAAATGGAGCGAAGACCCACTCGTATCGAAAAAGTGTTATAGTGTGAAAAAATGACTCGTTTTGTCCTCTTTCGTGTATGTACAGTATTTCATAGACAAAGAAGTTCAACCTTCATGAGATTTGTGCAAGTTGTAGAGATTTTACATAAAGTATACTTTAATGTTAGATGAAATATTAAGGAAATTTTTTAATCATTGAAATTTAATTTTTCACCTTCATGTTTGTTGCGCTATGGGTTTATCTCACGTCATGTTCACCCATGTCCTTTTAAAGTGCATGGACACAGATTTGAAGTTAATATTTTCTGTATAATATCACGACTTATATATTTTAATAGCATTTCACACTATATTATATTAAAAATTTTATTGCACTTTAAAATTATTGAAACTTCAAATTTTTGGATGGGTTTGATCATAACTTTCTTGCACTCTAACAAATTTTATTTTTATTTTTAATACTTAGGAAAAGTGGCAATCTAGTTGTGTATAAATGAAAATATTAAAGCTATAATCCAGAAAATTCAGATTAGAAATGTTCGGCAGCAAAACATACACACAGTACATTGTCAGTCCGTGCAGTTGTGGTGAACAAACTTTAACAATTAAGCGCACCCGGTGAATCACAAACATCAACAATAACAGAGCTCGTGCCCTGTTTACAAAAACTGTGTACGTTTCACGGGTGTGATCAATTTGCTAAACTCTGTGCATAACACTAAGCGCGGAATGAGGATACTTGTGAACGGGTTTCCCTTTCTAAAATTTCTACTCTGAATATAATCATTTTTCACTATTAAAGTCTTAATATTTTTCATTAATACACAACCAGATTGCCAATTTTACTACGTATTAAGAATAAAAGCAAAATTTGTGAGAGTGCAAGGAAGTGTCAATCAAACCCATCCAAAAATTTGAAGTTTCAATAACTTTAAGATGCAATAACATTTTAATATATTTTTGTGTGAAATGCTATTAAAATTTATGTCTTGATATTATACAGAAAATATTAACTTCAAATTTGTGTCTATGCACCTTTAAGGAAAATTCACCTCTTGATATTCTTTTTACTAGAGGAACAGTCATCAGAAAGTGTGAAGAGATTGGATGCCCATAAGAGACACATTTGTTTGAGTCGTTTGACAGGGGGCTGTCAGGAAAGGGACTGTGATAAACACCACACTACCCTCCCCTACCTCTGGCAAATCCGCATCTATGGAGAATGGTTCAGCTTTGACGATGAAGAAAACCAGAAACTGGAACAAAGCTATTGTGATTTACAGGACATGGCAATCGCAAAGGTACCCTCTGATCATATTTTAAAGTTAAATGTTTTGAAAAGAAAGTCTTCTTTGAGAATCAACTACCTTCATTTCATTTTTGACGGAGGTGATTTGTATTATATTGACTCAGATTATGGCTCGGAAGGAGAGTTTCGAAATCAGGGTGCATTTTGCTAAAGATTATGGAATCATTGAAAAATCTGCTGGAAAACCTCTGAACACATCTTGTCCCTTGGAAACAAGACGCCTATCTTCTTCTTCGTTTGCCACGGAAGACTCGCCTCTGACATCGGGTTCCTTCCACACTCAGTGGAGGTGGTACTTCTTAGATGACTTTCGGCGCTGGATTCTGTACGAAAAGGTAATACAGTCAATTACATAAATTATCGAATAGGCAACATTTTTTATGACATTTGCGATATATTTCTTGTGTGTTTACTCAAAGGAATATATTGCTATACATAAAATCGTAATTCTGGACTGATATTTAAAAATTTGAAAATTAAAAAGGAATGCACTAAACTCTTGTACCATATTTAACTTACTGGAAAAAAGAAAATCTTTTATCGTTAATAGGATGAATTTCAATACACACTAGAGAAGAAATACGTAATGGGACAAAAGAATTACCTGTTCACACGACGAAATCACAGACACCAATACAGAATTGAATTTGTCGACTGGACACAGCTAAACTATGTCACCTCAAAACTTCGCTTGGTTGCAAGACGACCAAAATTTGTTTGCCTCTCTAATGTTTTGACGAAGTCATTGTAAGTAAGCTGGTCAATTCTTTGTATCAATTGTCCTCTTATAGCACACTAATTTATAAGAACTTGCATACAGTCTGAAAACTTCTATACATAGTACATTATAATCTATGCAATTCCTGCTAAACATGGTTATACATTCATTTGTATTTAAATATTTCTGATTCAAGAATTCATGTGCTCTCCAAAGTGTCATCAAGATGAGTAAACCAACAGCATTTCTATGATGTTCAGCTGTTTTGTACAGTGATTCCTTTTTCATACTAGAAAGAATGATTTATCTTATGCCAAACTATCTTTTGGTTTTTCTATATTTTCTTTCGTTTTAATTTTCAACCAAAATAAGATTTCATATAACGTTATTTTTCATAATTACCCACTCTTATTCCAGTCCTAAGTTTCTGAAGATACGTGCACCTGAACCATATCCTCAGTTATGGAATCCAGTGGATATAACGCACGACTTTGAATGGGTTGACCTAGATAAAACAACGCCAGAATTCAAAGAGATAAAAACGTCATTCTTCGAGACACTTTCTGAAAAACGTTTTCAGATCTGCAATATCTACCGCATTCAGAATCTGGTTCTTTGGAAAGAATATGAAATGTAAGTTTTCATTTTTGTAAGCTTTTAATTATAATGATGTATTAGATGTTTTTGTACATAAATTAATTTTTAATTATATTTGATAACAAATAAGTACCGACATTTAAACCAAAACACATTGTCACTTTTGTCAGTTGTTGATTTTTGATACTCAGTAATCATCCATGATGTGTACAGTAAATTCGAAACATAAAGAATATAAAAGTGTATAAGAAGAATCTGTCATCCAACAGAATATAGACGTTGTGTATTCATAGTCTGAATTTATTTACCTTTTTGGACTACGTATCTCCAAATTGACCATGCATATCCTCTGATTTTACAATATTGTGATCGCTTTCTACCTAATTATGTACAGTGCTAGAATGTTTGCAAATTGTTAGGACTGTCTCTTATTGTGAACGTGTTTCAACTGAATTTTTGCAGGAAAAAAGCAAATATGGAAAGAGTACTTGCTACGAAGGATGGTAGTGTTGATGAGAGAAGCCTGTTTCATGGCACTGATTGCGTTGACACTTGTTACGGTATCTGTACCAACAATTTTGATTTCCGACTCAGCGGGAAAAATGCAACTGTATATGGGAAAGGATCGTACTTTGCAGTATCAGCTGCTTACAGTAATTCATACACAGGAGGGTGTACTCGCTATATGTTTAAAGCCAGAGTTCTGATTGGGAAATATACTCTGGGGAGAGAAGGCATTAACTGCCCTCCGACTATCCCTAGACAAGGACACAAGAGATACGATTACTGTGTTGACAATATCAGAAACCCTTCAATTTTTGTTATTTTTGACAGGAACCAGTGCTATCCAGAGTTTCTGATTGCATATAAAGAATTCAAATGAAGGGTTGCTTGTGATATACTGTAAAGTATTTCAGTTGATTGCTCATTGTATATTGTAAATGTATATTAATTGGCATTTCAAATGTTTGGAAACTGATTTTTCCCCCAAAAAATGGATGGATATGATTTATCTTTTCTGAAAGTGCATGATTTTTCATATACAAACTGTTAAATAATTATTAAGCTATTTTACGATCTATGCACTAATTGATCTAGCGGAAGCCGCTTTCCGCGAAAGGCGCAAAATAAAATACACAGCCAAATCTGATGGTGTCTGGTGAAATGAAATGCAAGGAAATTGTAGATATCTTGCAAGACACAATCCTCACATGTAATTTGTCATAATAAACAATTTGTTTTTCTATTGTTGGTTTTGATTTGACAGTGCATTAATAACATTTATTACATACTTAATAAATACAGGATTTTTGCATATATGCGATATGGCTGACGTCACAATAGCCGTATCAGCCCTGCAGGGCTGATATGGATTTGCGGGGCTGATATAGGTTATCAGCCCTGCAGGGCTGATACGGATCAATATCACACCCCTAGTAAATTAAACCTAAAAAAAACTAGTACTTGTGATTATACACGTATTTTGGGGGTTACATAATTCTCTTAATTTTGACTTTTGAATGTAAAGATAATCTAACTGATAAATAATAGATTATTTTAAAATTTCTGATTGAGGACATTTGAAATAGAAGAACATGCAGAAACAAACCGAAACTGTATGAGACAATAGACTGTGTACATTTTAAGAAGTCCGTGCATGATTGTTTACTTATTTAAGGAATGAATTTAATAGCTACCCATTTTATACGGTATAAACTGGGTTGGGGCAGTTTACGCTTTATAAACCGCGAAGCGGTTTATAAAGAAGCGTAAACTGTTTCATGGCACTGATACCGCATAAAATGGGTAGCTATTGAATTCATTGCTTATAATTTAATTTTCATTCATTCGCTGTAAGAAAAAAAGATAATATTATTGTTCTAATAAAATGACTTCAACTTGTTCAAAATTTGAATGTAACGTCAGGCGGATTGATACGTTTTTGACGCACGTCATTGTGACGTAGGCAACCCATTTTATACGATATAAAATAATTTTTTATCCAATCAAATACATCGTTACAACCATAATTAAATTATTTTCTTCTCCACTTAATGTGTTCTGTATTTTTTATTACTAAGTATGTAATAAATATAATAAAACATACCCTTTTCCACATCACATCCTGTATCAGCCCTCGACCAATATCAGCCCTCGGGCCTTCGGCCCTCTGGCTGATATTTTCTCAGGCTGATACAGGATGTGATCGGAAAAGGGTATGTATTATTCTCTATATATTTATATGTGAAGTGTCAAGTAAGCTGTATTTTCATCATCAGAACCAGATATATATATACTGAAAGGAAAAAGAAACGCATATTTTACTTTTAAATTAAATTAAAACTATTATTTCGAAAATCTTTTCCAGTATTGTTATCAAACGTTGTAATTCATCTTTAATCTACAAGTTACCAAAATCTTGTGTGACTTTGACTGATAATTCCTGAGATATTGAAATTGATATGTCGTTACCCCCAAAAATTAAAATAAAAATTCTCATCATCTCCCTTGCACATTGGTAACAACCTTGATTTTCCTGTTTATTGAGTTCACCAGAGCATTTATCTTTCTCATATGATTATTGTTCAACCCTTCCGACAATAGTTTTAATGATTGAGAGTAGCTGTATTATTCCAAAGCCAACAGATCCCCCGCCAAATGAGTGCCACGAATTTTCGTTTTAGGATGGAAATTACAGAATCCAGCTGGTTTTGTACACGTAATTTTGTGAGAAAGTTGGACAAAATTGTCTTACATTTTCCGAGTGTAAGCATGCTAAAAACATTACGCACACGACGCGAACGTGCGCGCGTGAGAGTAAAATCGACGTAAAAGTTGCCAAGCTGCAGACCAAATTAGAGCAGAGAATTTTTCAATTTTAGGGTGAAAATATTGGTATGATAGTTTGCTGTATAAATATCGGTTTCAGTGATAACACCTTGACAACAACCGAGGTGACATGATGAAAAGCCCTGTCTTGATGTGACGTTGTTACGCGTCAACATCACCGCCATCGTTGGTTGGAAACCTTTTAATTTACTCTCTGACAACTGAAAAACCCTTTTTTGTTGAAAAGTTTAACACAAACTGCACAGCAACATCTTGTTGCCTTTTCATTCACTTACGCAATTCAGTTACTGGAACCAGTGTAACTTCCGTCAGCCATACCATGATTGCACGAAATTTATACTGATTTCAAATGCGGAAAACGATGTCTATAACTCCAATGCATCGATTTTTTATTAGCACCAGAAAATGTGATCATAAAATTTTCATCATCAACATGCACGTGTTTTTGGCTTTTATCATTTCCCCTACGTGACGCCATACATTTCATGGTTGATAATTTTGACCAGCAATTTTAGTGCACAGTAATCAAAATACACATTTGACAAATTTTCATAATTTTCGGCCATATAGTTAAATATATTTCGATATTATGCTATTATGCGTTTCTTTTTCCAGATATATATAGTTCTGTTTGTATATAAAATGACTTCCATCAAAAAGATGCATGTGTTTCTGTTTGACAATATCTATGTGGTTTTTGGAATCCATGTATTTCAACAGTCTTTTGGAATTCCCATGGATACCAATTGTCTCTGTTATTAGCAGACCTACTTTTGTATTCATATGAAGCAGAATTTGTGCAAAATCTTATGCGTGAAAAGAAGAAAACACTTGCTGTGGCCTTCAACTCGACTTTTAGATATATATCGACGACGTACTGTCAATAACTATGGTAATTTCTATTCCTACGTCGATACGATATATCCTGGTGAGCTTGAGATAAAAGATACCACAGAGTCTAACACATCTGTTTCATATTTGGATATTTTACTTGAAAAATACGTTAATGATAATCAACAAGCAAGCTATAATTATGATAAATGTGATGACTTTAACTTTTCTATCGTCAACTTCCCTTACTTATGCAGCAATATACCTTCATCGCCTGCATATGGAGTGTATAATATATGTCAGTTGATTTGATACGCAAGAGCGTGCTTTACGTATGAACAATTTATAAAACGAGGTAAATTATTGACAAGCAAGTTGATGAAACAAGAATATCAGCAGTCTCGTTTAAAGTTATCATTTCGTAAGTTCTATGGTCGATACAATGACCTTGTCAGCAAATACAATTTATCATTGAGTCACATTCTGACTGACGTTTTTCATACCAATTTTGTTAGTCCATTATTTATACACTGAATTGACGTCGGATTTTTCCGTTATTTTCCTATCATGACAAGGAGCACACTGCGGGTGTGACCGGTCAGCAGGGGATGCTCACTCCTCCATGGCACCTGATCCCACCTCTGATGTTTCAGAGGTCCGTGTTTGCTCTGCTCCTATTTTGTATTGTTTTATGGACTTTGATATTGAATGCTGTTCCTTATCTCCATATCCTTCCACAAATCACATTTGCTGGTGGACACCCCCCTCCCCTTCTAATTATGCAACCAGAGTCCAAGGATATTTTTATTTGAAATTTCTGTAACATCAACTTACCTGTGAGTAGAATGTCTTGCTTTAAAAATATTGATCGTACTCAGGGCATGCTCTTGAGTAGCAAATAAGTTGGAAGATAAACTCTATAAGCAAGGATAGTAAAGTCATAGTGAATCCATCACCTTTGTCATATAATTTAGTTTTAAATTAAAATGTTGCTTTTATAATCTAATGTCATTAAAACATCCAAATAAGAAAAAGACGTGGCAGACTCTGTGGTGTCTTTTATTTCAAGTTCACTAGGATTTATCGAGTCGACATCTAAATGAAAATAGCTATTGTTAAACAATAAAACATGTTCGATGTATTTGACTATCGAATTTATTGAAAGCCACAACAGGTGTTTTCCTCTTTTCATGAAAATTCTCATGAATATTGTGAATTAATTCCGCTCCTTAAGAATATAAAAACAGGTCAGCTGAGAAAAGTAGCAAAATTAGTACCCATTGGAATTTCAACAGTTTGTTGGAAAGCTTAGTTTGTTCTAATCAATAAAATGTTAAACAGACAGGGCATAATAGTCCAATCCACACTTTACAGAAGTTGTGTTCCTTTGCGGGTCAACCAAAAGATCAAAAGGTGAAGTGACATTTATCCTCTTTATGCTACCAAACATTTGGGCAGGCTCCAATGAATCCACGTTAAATTGTTTTCGTTTAATGCTTGGGTAGCCCCACCTTGGGACAATCCGTATACATTTTGCAACGACTATTTCCCAGTCAAATGACAAAGTTACAAACCTGTAAAACTACAAAGGCTACTGTAAGAATTCAGTGGGATTTTTCCCCAAAATGGCGGCTAAGGAACGTAAATTTTGGAAAGTGTGGATTCAACTTATATTGATAAAATAAAATCGACTCGAAAATTCAGCATTGGTGATTCTATGGATTTGGTCACCTACCTACCGACCCTGAGCTATGAGAGGGTTACAACTATCACGTTTATTATACTATTATGAAATTTTAATTAAATGAAATGATTGTCTATTTTGAAATAGACCTCGTGGCCCTCTTAGGTAATTATATACTCTAAATAAACAATCATTTCAATTATTCTTTGGAAAGCCATAATGATAAACTATTAATCACTGTAAATAAGAGGAAAGTGTAAAATATTACAGTTCTCATGTAGGCTTGGACTTTCAGTAAGACGTGGCTTTCTCGGCGCTACGTAATGGCGAATACTAGTAGATTCTTATTGGTTAAGAAATTAATAACATCAGGATTTTTAAATTGTTGTTGACAACGATGAGACGACTTATGTCCCACCTCTGTGCCGTGAGATAACTTTTAATTGGCTATTTACCACACCAGTTGACATTCGGTCGAATTTCTATTCTATGTATATTTCAACAATGAAGGAAAGCTGTGTAAATTTCAGAAGCTACAATGTAATTAGGTAACGTCGAGAATACCACGCCTTACTGAAAGTCCAAACTAAATTCGAAATGGTCCTAAGAATAAATATTTACATTCGTTGTGTTTCTCTACTAAGCAAACTGAAATTGATTTCAAAAACATATTTGTTTATAGTACTCACGCTTAACACGTAGTATAAACTCACGCTCAACTCGTAGAAACTCGCGCTACTCACAATGAGGCTACGGCGACGTTAGTAAAAATGCAACGATATAGGACAGCGAGAAATTCAAATATTGAGTATATTTTTGGTGATTTCAAACATGTAAAATGAAATATAAGGAATGTTTTTTAAAAGTTTTGTGTGAGAT